TCCTCGCGCCTCAGGCGCTCCGACTCTCCTCGCCTCAGGCGAGCTCTGACTCCACCCTCAGGTCCGTTCTTCTTCAAATACTAAGGTGTTCATATTTGTATTTGTTTAAAATTATCGAATTCGAATGCGGACTCTAATATTCATATATCTAGTTTTTTGAATTCAAACTCGAATACTTGGTATTTGATAAATATTCATGAATATTCACGAATACTTATCGAATATAAAAGTATATTTATTCCACTAAAGAATTTGATTTTTAGATAGTATTAAAATTCATAAATAAAAATTATTCCTTTATAATATATGATGTGTGTGTGTATGTACGTATGTATGTGTGTGTGTGTATATATATATATATAAAAAATAGATTTAAGATTATTTAAGTGGACTAAAAATCAGTATATAAAACTTAAGAAGAAATGGTAAGTGGATTAAAAATATGACATCATATGTGTAATATAACAAATCATAAGCTGTGATCAAATTTTAAACAAATATTTAATAGACAAACGAATCGACTATACATCTGGTTAAATTCTTTTCATTAGTAAACTCGAATACTAAAAAATATTCATTTAGTGGTAAATGAACTACCGAATTGATTATGACCGAATAATTATTCGAACAATTATCGAATTATTTATTAATCATTTGGTTCATTTCCACCCCTAATTGTAGTTCAATGAGCTCTGTAATAAAACAAAGGAAAAGATCAATTCAAGATAAAGATTTTTCATAACCCGTCACCTCTAAGATTGAAATGTAATTAATTTAACTTAAATATCAAGTTTGGACTTTAGAGCCAGCCGTACGCTTTCATCATGGGACCCATTTTATTGACCTAGCATTATAGTTTATAATAAGACATTATCTAGCTTTTTCTGTTCAAAGAAAGATCCAAATTTTGGGAGGTTTTATGATGGGTGCATGAGTGGTTCGAAGAGGAGGTCGGTTGGTTCTTGGATGCCACTTGGGCTGCACCTTTGGGCTCACACTAAATGCAAAAAGGGTTCATGTGGCAGATTGTGAAACTGAAAGAAATTTATTATATCAAAAGATTTTTTCGAAGAAGAAGAAGATAAAAGTCATAATCAATATCATAGGACAGGAGTCACGGGTATCACTTGACTTGCAGGCGTTTAGGCCACCATCACCAGTTCGGCAGCGAGCTAAAAGATGATAACAAAATCAAGGATTAATTAAATTCTTGTTCTAAGCTATATGATGTAATCACACAGAGTAATTTGGAAGTAGCTTGTCATCTGTGCTACAGTGTCACTGAGTATAATTACAAGTAGTAATCTCTAGGTCATCCATGTAGATACGCAAATTTTAGGGTCAACCATGTAATTACATCATACCTCATGGTATCGAAATGTAATTGATCCTAAAATCAATCTTTGGTGAAAATTAAGGTGAGGCCGAAACATTAAAATTTAATTCATGTCCAAAAGTTTTTCCATGTAAGTATTGTTAAAGAGTTGACCTCAAGTTGGGAGGTATATATCCTCAAAATCTTATTTTGCAGAAGAAGTGGAGGCAACCTAAATCAATCTATATAAAATAGTTTAGTTTCCCTACTTTGCACTTATATACCCTTATTGTTTTTGACATATAAAATAGTACACTTCGTTATCTACTTTCTGTTATGTAATGTGACATATACATTGCTAAGTTTAGGCCTTTTTAATTATTAATCCTTAACGTCGTCAGTTAAATTTACTGTGCGTAAAACTTATCCAAATTCTATTTAATGTGTAGTTTACGCTGTATATTAAATGTGATCAACAGAGAATGTTCACACTTTCCACTTGATATCTGGAAACAAGCTGTTACTAGCCTCGCTATCAGGGTTCTAGAGAAAGTAGAGACGAGAAGAAGAAATATTAATGTTGAGATTAAACAGCACTATTTTTTTTTTTGGTCAATGAAAAAATATTATTCATTAAACCATTTGAAAAGTTATGTACATCACATATCTATCTTCTGAGATATCAAAATTAAACAGCACTATTGAATGCCATGAAAAGTAGGGAAAAAGAACAAAAAGAAAGAAAGAAAAGGGTGTGCAAGTTGTTAGAATAGTTGCCAACTCAACCATTGCGTTTTCAATTCAAAGAGACGGATTAAGAAACACACGAGGAGGAGCATCTCCGCGTAAAAACAGGTCATAAACAATCTTTCATTTGTTTTCACTTATCCTTCCATGCCCATGCATGCATTTAAATGTTTTTAAATATTCGATGGTATACGAGATACATCACAATGGAAAATCTAACATATTAACAAAGAAATAAAGGAAAATTTAATGAGTTTTTGACTCCTGATGAGTATCCAATCGACCAATTAATTTATTATAGTGTGCTCTATTTTCCTTTAACAAATGATCCAACAACAGTTGATGTTTTTCTAGAATTTTTCATAGACACCTTTGCAATAACAAATACCCTCTTTAGTATGAAGTGTAACCCGAACTATATATTTATTAGGATTTACATCTCCTAAACTCTACACGAGTACTTTTTGTTATTGTTTGAGTTACACATGAGTCTCAGCTTAACAATAAATTGTTTTTGCTCTCTAGCTATTACATGAAAATAGACTAAATTACCATGTAAACTGAGGTTAAAAGTAACAACGTCTAAGACCAGTGTAAGTACTAATGAAATAATTTATAGGGATGATTGACTAGCTTCATCATCATCGTTCAAAAGATGTATTCGTAATTATTAGAATATAACCCTCAATTCTTATCACAGTTTCGTAACTTTTGGACGGTGACAATGCCCTTTGACAGTATTAACCCAATTAATATTATTTGTTTGATTAAATTTAATGTTCTGATCCTTTCTTATTAAAAACATAGAGGTTGTTAGGAACACGGATAGAGGATTTGAGAGTGGCCAATCACCTTCCAATTACAGGCCACCGCCAAACTGTCCTCCGCTTGATGAGTCCCTTTCACTTCTTTTACTGCTCTCTCTCTCTCTCTCTCTCTCTCTCTCTCTCTCTCTCTCTCTCTCTCTCTCTCTCATATAACTACTCAAATCCTACTTGCTTACAGGCAAGCAGGTATATATACTGAACACTGAAGAGGAGTTTACATTTTTATGGCAATTGCAACTACAATGAGTACTAACAGTGAAGATCGTCGAGATGGCAAGATTGAAGATGGGCATGAGTATGATCTAGTGATGCCTGGGTTCAGATTCCATCCTACTGAAGAGGAGCTCATCGAGTTCTATCTTCGTCGAAAAGTTGAAGGAAAGAGATTCAACGTTGAGCTCATCACTTTCCTTGATCTGTATCGCTACGATCCTTGGGAGCTTCCTGGTTTGTGATATTTCTCTCTTTGATTTTTATTTTCAATTTTATATAGGAAGCAAATGTCTAATTCTTGCTAATTTTTATCCTGTATATTTGATAACGAAATTCTTCTTTTATTTATTGGAAATTAAATTCGCTTCTTTTGGGTTTCTTTGATGCCTTTTCTATCCCAATAACCAAAATCATAGAAACAGTAATTTCCTAAAAGAGGCGTCAAATTGATCCTTGTGATTTATAGTATTTTCTAAGTTTGATTATTACAATTGGAGGTGAACAGATATTGAGCTGTAATCTAACAAAATATCAAAGGACGATAAAGATATTGTTAACATGCATTCAAACTGGTGAATATGAAAGTAGAAATGTTTCCTCCTAATTTTTTCTCCTCCTAATTTGATAATAAATTAATATTTTTGTAGAAATTTTAACTTAAACTTTGTTTCTTTTTGTTTCCCTTATGTTTTCCCCCATTATGGATAATCAAATTACAATAACATGTATTACCTATAACGAGGCATTAAATTGAGAATCCTAATGATTTATGATTATTTTTACATTAACCTTCTAACGACATATATACTTTTATTGTTTTCCTTTCTCATTGTCAATAATCACAAAAAACTTATGAATAATTTTCTTGGCTTCAAATATTACAATCCAGCAATTAGCAATTTTAGTTTTCTAACATAACTTTTTTTCCCCTTCCGATCGATTTTGTAGCATTGGCAACAATAGGAGAGAAAGAATGGTTCTTTTATGTACCTAGAGACCGAAAATATCGGAACGGTGACCGGCCTAACCGGGTGACAACCTCCGGCTACTGGAAGGCAACCGGAGCTGACCGGATGATCCGGTCAGAGAACTCACGGCCTATAGGATTGAAGAAAACCCTAGTTTTCTACTCCGGCAAAGCTCCTAGAGGCATTAGATCGAGTTGGATCATGAATGAGTATCGGCTTCCTCAAAATGAAACCGATCGATATCATAAGGTAATTTTGGATAATTCCATTGTAATTTTTTGTAAAAAAAATAAGTTAAGAGTTTATCTTCTCTCTGAGCTTAATTAGGGTTTGGATAGATGTATATGTTTGCATATTTATGTATAGAAGTTCATGACCATGTCATATAGTGACTACTTATAAATTATAATACTTAACTCTCATCATAATTTCAGAATTTTAATGTAGTGTAAGAGACTTTAATATGACATTAGATCAACCGAAGTTTAAACGATGCATTGAAATGGATTTTAGAAAAAAAGAATATTGATGTAGTGTACATTAGTTCAAGTTTAGGATGTACATACCTATATATAAACCTCAAAACTCATCATAATTTCCTAGTTTTCATGCAGCGTAAGGGGCATTAAATATACATCATATTTCTAATGAGAACAATTACCCACATGAACAGCAGCTAGATCAGTGCATTACTTGGTTGACAAGGTTACGATTGTAAGTTTCCAAAATTAAGCAAACAATTTGCTTTATTCAACAAAATAATGTTCCTCTCACCCACATATATATGGTTGGTTTCTTGCATATGTTGCAGAATCAACCATTTACTAATATGATTACAAATGAATCAAGATCTCATTTCAAGAAAATAAAAAAGACCAAACTGTCTTGAAAAATGACTGTTGGGGTTGCAAATGCTTACAAAATTAAGGAGATATACCGAGCTAATTAATCTAGCTAGGTGCAGTCAGATTAATTCAAAATGATTAACCCTTGAATCATGCATGAGTTTAAGCATATTTAGCCATATATTCATTTGATTATTCTTCCAATGTGGAATAAATCCATCACACGTCGAACCTAGCTACGCATGAACTGAATGGTTCACTCCTGAAAAAAGCAATACTAATTAGAAATAGAGGAAATCATTCAAATATCTCTTCTTCTTCTTCTTGCTGCTTACAACTTGCAACTCCTCTCTCTGCAGGAGATTTCACTTTGCCGAGTCTACAAAAGACCAAGCATCGAAGACCACAGCCACCTCCCTGGCTCTCTCTGTGTAAAGCCATCCTCCTCCAATGTAACACCAACTACATCAGATCAAAAGCACAAATCTCTTGCAGAAGATTCGTCATCACCTGACGTCGATAAAATCCAAGAGCGCTCGATTGTCTACAACACTATGACAGTTAATCCGATGTCAGTGATGGAAGAAGAAGTGGTTCCTCAAATCACTAGATGCAATGCCATTGCTGAGCTCAGTGGGATGGCTGGTTATAATCAGAGTGGTTTCTTGAATGATCAGCCTCAGCCTCAGCCTCAACTTCTTCCTATTAACGTGTTGCCTGATCCTTTTCTGGGGATTTCTGATAAGCTTTGGGATTGGAGTTCACTGCCTGAAGATGGAAGGGATTATGGTGGTAATAGTTCTAAGTGATGAATATGATAAGTGTAGGGACAATCATACACTGATTAAGAATTAGTAGGACCTCCTTCCAATATTGTATTATTATGATGATTATTGTTAGTAGCAAATTTTTATCTTGTCATTTAGCTTACATGTAAAATTAAAGATTGTTGACGAGAAATATATTATAGCTTTTCCCTTCTTTTTTTTAATGGGTGTACTTGGTGATTAATTTACTTGCTATTAGAAAATAAGGGATTAGGTTGGTAGCTGGTAAGTTTATTTTTTTGAGAGGTAAAATTGGGTTTCTCTCTAAAAGTTGGCAAATTAATGATTCTTGATCATTGGCTAGTTTGGTGCATCAAAAACTGTCTATATGCTGGCGCGGATATTGATTATGTTCTAAGACCCAATATATTATCTGCTTATTTAGAATATCTAGTGATTAACATTTTGTGGAGGATATATATGTAGCTGGGAAGTAATCTATTTTTGGAAGTTGAATCGGTCTCTCTCTCTCTCTCTCTCTCTCTCTCTCTCTCTCTCTCTCTCTCTCTCTCTCTCTCTTTCTCTCTATCTTTTTCTCTATAATAACATTTGAACTCGTGTAGACATGCAATAATGGTGCCATAAGTGAGAGGACCTGCAGGGATCACTGGAAGCATGTGATCTTACCTGAGTCAATATCTCTGGGCCGAACCAAGACTGACGCAGTCAATTATGTCTTGTCGTTTGTAGAGCTTTGCACTAAAATATTGGGGGTTGGAGTAGGGTATAAGAGTAGTCACTACCAGTGTACTAGTCTGCTACTTGAATGTTCACCTCCTTGTCCTTGTTCTTCTCATCATTGAACTATGTTTTTGGGGATGCTAGCACTCTCTAGTCTCTACTCATGTCGAGCTTGAACCGTTCAGTATTTACTTGCTTTGGTGTTTTGTAAAAGGAGCATGTTCACTTATGCTGCTTATTGAACTAAGATCCTC